AAAATAATAGGCCGGAATAAGTAGGGATCAAACCAAAAGTTTGAGGATACTGAGTGAAGTTGAAGTTTCTAAGTGACTCAAGCTGCAAAACCGATGAGATTGCCTTCAATTTTACCCCTTGATGTTTCTACAGATGGCTTTTAACTATTCCGCATGAGAAGGTATTGCAACTCAACACAATTCTTCACTTAATCATCAAGGATATTCACGAAGCTCATAAATGAAAAAAACACTGTTGGAAGTTCTTGTAAGTACATAGCTCCAGCTATAGGCTATGTTTAATGAGCGGTTGCAAAACGCAGTTAGTTATCTGTCTCTATCGTTCTTTTGATTAGCTGTCTAGAACTATCTTACCATGCGTACTGAGAGATCCTATGGTGTCAATTTCTGAGGTAAAAATAAGTTAAATAATTTATTGCGAAATAAGAAGCGACCTTTGGTTCAAGTTATTATGTTTCACAAATAATCAATGCATGAATAACAAATGAAACAACACCAGTGAAAGTTGAGAGAGGCCAACATACGAGCAGGTGAGAGCGCTGGAGCGAGAAGGAAGAATAAGTATAGGTATGACCTGTGTGCAGAAATTATACGGAGTAAGGCACTCTAACCAGTACCGCACACCTTTGCTAATTAGTCACGGCAGTAACCATATTGGATGGGCAATGTAGATGTGCTGAAACGCAAATGCGGTGTGTGCGATTCAGAAGGCAATCACAGCTCGGCGGGATCGTGCTTCTGCAGTTGCTCCCCGTAGTCGGTAGCCTGCGATCCGACAAATGTGTCGTAGTGGGCAAGAATCTCGTCCATGGAAAGTTTGCCATCCTGAAAATTCAGAATTCGCCCATGACACTTTCTAAAATACCAAAGAATGTAGGACTGACCTTATTGTCATCGGCGATACCAACCAAGTGGCGAGCCTCAGCTTCAGCATGATCGAATCCAACTGGCATGATCCAGTCCCTCATCTCATCCTAAATTCTCACAAATTAGGCAAAACAGACAAAAGGCGCAGAAGCTTGAAATCCACCTGATTCAATTTGCCATCTCCATCTTTGTCCCGGTGCTCCTTGAACATTTCGCGCTCCGATTGCAC